GGATAGTGGCTAATTTACGATGAGATTGAAAAACTGATAAATTCACAACTCAAAGACATTTTCAACTCAACGGTGTTGCTCCACTAACATTCCCACAGAATTTTGGGAATCAATTCCTTTCACCCACATTTATTCTTAAGATCTTCATACATATCATCTTTCTTTCTTTTCCAGAATTTTCTCTTTTTTCTGTTTTTTTCTTTGTGGGTGACCCTTAATCACAAGAACATCAAACATCATTAATCTTTCAAAGCACAGAATTCAATCAAACGAGCAATCATGAAAACTAATCATGCCCAAGTAATATCATGCCAGATTATTATAACAAATATGCTTCCTCAAATATAATCATGCAAGTTGCATAGGGAACACATTTAAACCTGGGCATGCTTTAGAATAATATTTTCCAAAATTTCCAAAAAAAATTCTTGATAAGAGCACACAAACAACTAAAAAAAATAAAACTAAAACAATTGGTTAGAATATCTCCCCTGATAACGTTGTACTCCATTAGCATGCTTGGCCTTCCATTCCCAGATTTAGAACATTGTTGTCCTCAGCAATAATGAAACCACAAGAAGGAAGAAAAACCTGCACAATGGAAAAAACAGTGGCATATAGGATAAACTATAATGCGCACATTAAAACATCAGAAAGAGATATACCAACACAAAACAACTAAAAATACGAAACAGAAAAATAAACTAATATACAAAATCTCCGTCAGCAAGGAGATATAATCAACCCTCCATGTCATCCCCCTCAGCAGCGTGGGATGACCCAGCAAATGGAGGATCCGGTGGTACTGGATGCTTTGGTGTATGAGACCATCATTCCCAGATTTGTTCCAAACCATGAAGCCATGTTAAGAACTCTTTGAAGCTTTGATTTTTCCGAGAGATAGAGTCTCGGTGTCTCTTGTCAAACTTCAGCTCTCGGTGTCTCTTCCAACTCGTATAAAGAGTTTCACCACTTCCTTTCTTAGTACCTTCTTCAGTATCGGATTACGCCTCCTTTGAGACGTCTTCACCTCTTTGACATCAGCTTTTAGAGTTTGAGGAAGATCCTTCAATTCCACTTTTGAGGTTCCATCTTCCTTGTAATTTTCTGCTTTTTCAGGAACCTCAACCGCTACATCTTTTTCTTTCTTTACGACTTCAAAACTAAAACAATCGTCTTTGTGAGAAGACTATTTTAGAGAATCGAAGACGTGAATAGTAACGGTTTCATCATTCATTCTTAGCTCGAGCTTCCCGCTTTCAACATCAATCAGTGCACGAGATGTAGCTAAGAAAGGTCTACCCAGCAAAAGAGGCATTTCAGCTCCCCCTTCCATGTCCAACACCACAAAATCAGCAGGGAAGATGAACTTGTCCACCTTCACAAGAACATCTTCAATAATACCACTAGGCTTCCTCAAAGACTTATCAGCAAGTTGAAGAGATGCTAAAGTAGGCTTCAACTCGGTGATCCCCAAGGAATTACAATAGAAATGGGCATCAAATTAATGCTAGCCCCTAGATCACATAATGCTCTGCCAATTTTTGTGTTACCAATTTCAACAGAAATATTGAAGCTCCCTGGATCATGACGCTTAGGCGGGAACTTCTTTGTAATAATAACACTACACTCCTCAGTGAGTGTCACCGTTTGGCATTCTTGCAACTTGTGCTTTCTTGACAACAAATCCTTCATGAACTTGGCATAATTTGGCATGCTAGCCAAGGCTTCAGCAAAAGGGATATTGATATACAATTTCTTGAATATATCAAGAAACCTTCCATATTGTTGCTTCTGATCCTCCTTCTTGAATCTGTCAGGATAAGGTGCCATGGCTCTCACATATTCAGGACTCAGCTCAAACTTCTTATTTTCAACTGGCTTCTCCACTTCAGCAGATTTTTCAATTTCTTTTTCTGGCTCCTTAACCTCCTTTAGCTTCTTTTCAGCTTCCATATTAATTCTCGGCTTTTCTGGAGCTGCTACCACTTTTCCACTTCTAGTTGTGACAAACATACAATCCTCCTTTGGATTTGTAACTGTATTACTAGGGAAAGTACCTGGAATTCTTTCCGAAACTTGCTTTGCCAATTGGCCTATCTGATTCTCCAGGTTCTTTATGGAAGCATTTGTATTTTTGTTGTTGGCTCTAGTCTCCTCCATAAAGGTATTAGTGGTCTGAGCCATCTCATTCGAAGTCTTGGCCATTTGTGCAAAGGCTTTTTCCCACTCAGCAGGCTCTCGTTGTTGATTCTGTGAAGGCTGAGTATAATTATTAGATTTGAAATCCATGCCAACTCCCTGAGCTCTCCGCTGAAAATTGTTACCACCACCACCAGAAAAATTCTGATTTCTCTGAAGATTTGGCTGCTGAGGGCGCTGGTCATACCATATACCATTCACCTGCATTTGTTTAGGTGAATCAGAAGAAGCAAGAGATGGACATTCATTAGGAGCATGACTGTCCGTACAGTAGTCACAGACAAAGGCAACAGACTGAACTTGAACTCCCGCGATCTGCATCTTGTCAAGCCTGGAAGTCAAACTAGCCATTTGTTGAGCTAGCAATTTATTTTCAGCCAGAACTGACTCATTACCTTCTAGATGAAGGCTACCTTTCTTAGACTTTGAAGATACCCCTTGATTTTCATTCCTGGTCATCCTCTCTATCAGCTCCAGAGTTTCATTCGCCCTCATGGTTTTAATAGTACCACCAGCTGCACCATTCAAAACCATTCTATCTTCAGGTGTGATGCCATTGAAAAATATTCTGACTTGATTACCAGGAGTCAAATTATAATGAGGGCACCTCCTCATCAAGTCCTTGAACCTGTTCCAGGCTGCACACAATGTTTCACCCTCAGTTTGAGTGAAGTTGGTGATATCATTCACCATTTGATTGTATCTCTCCATGGAAAAGAACTCCGCAAAGAACTTTGTAGACAAATCCTCCCATGTAGCAATGCTCCGTGCAGGCTGCCTCTCCAGCCAGCTAAGTGCTTCTCCCTTTATAGCAAAAGGGAATAATCTCAACCGGATAGCATCATCAGACACCCGAGGGTGCTTGGTTGAGTCACAGATCATTAAGAACCGATCTATGAACCTGTGAGGATCCTCATGCTCATCTCCTCCAAATTGAACTCTCTCCACCAACTGAATTATGGAAGACTTCAACTCCCAATTATTGTCAGCAATATTCGGTTGGACAATACTTGAATTAGGCCTGTTGAAGGCTGGAGTGAGGATGGTATCCATAAGTGGATTTTCATCTTCATTATTCGCTGCCATGGTTGGGATTTCAAGTGCTTCTTCAGATTGAGCACTTGGCACTTTTGATTTCTTCTGAGCAAGTCTCCTGTTTCTCCTTTCAAACCTTGTAATTTCAGGATAAAATAACAATTTTGTAGGATCAACCTTGCCTCGTTTAAAACTTCAAGAGAAGATTAGTAGCAATGTACAAAACAAATTAAAACAATAACAGAAGAAAATAAAATAAAATAATCACAAAAAGAAAGAAAAATCTTGAAATTCAAGATTATAAGATATAAGAAATCACAATCCCTGGCAACGGCGCCAAAAACTTGATGCAAACCGGCAAGTGTACCGATCGTTCAAGTAATAAAGTGATAAGTAAGTTATCGTCTCCACAGGGATTGTGAGAGAATATCTTATAAACGTCCTTTCAAGATATAAAACCCAAGTGATTTGAAGAACAATAGAAATTAAAGACAAAGACGTATTTTTGGATTTTAAAAATAAGAGAATGATGCAGAATGATTTGGATAAAAATATGAGAGATATTGTAAGTAAGTACACTCGCCCTATGATCCCCTCTTTTCACTACGGATTGATTCACAATGCTCAATTAAAATAAACAATCAAACAATTTATCATCCAAACAATTATTAGCTAAACCCCAATTCCTTGCAAATTTAGCCCTTTAATCACAATTAAAACCCCAATTCCTTGCAATGTTTCAATTGAGATCAAGCATTACACAGATAAATTAAACGTTTGTAATCAAGAATGCGTCTATTCCTAGCACGCATGTTAATTATTATCCTACCCCCTTTCTGGACCAAAACCCCAATATTCCTATCTAGGGTTCTAACCCTCAGATTATCATTTACTACTAAACTGATCAGATTTAATATAAACGATAAGCAATACGCACAGAGTAGGCATAAATCAATTAAATTAAAGAGCGAAAAGTAAATCAATCCATAACTAAACAAAAGGTTCACATAGGGTTTGTGACCCTACCTACAATGAAGGAAACTAGCCAGACATGGTCATAGCTGAATTACAATGATTCATAAAAGAAGAATAATAGCTGAATTCAAAAGGAAAATAAAATAATCTCCAAGATCAATCTCCACCCAAAAAGCTCCAGAAGTTCTCTCCTCCTCTTCGTCTGTCTTCTTTTTGTCTTCTGATCCCCTCCTTTTATTTTGCTCGCACGCGTTCAAAACACGGTGTCTTCCTGCTCGAAAACTGGCGCTGATGGCGCCGTTTTGGCACTGAATTTGAATTAATCCGCGCTGATGGCGCCGATCATACTTCTTCTGCGCTGATGGCGCGGAATTTCCACTGAAAATGCATTTATTCCGCGCTGATAGCGCTGCCCATCTGATCCAAATTTTCCTTCTGCGCAAATTCTCATTTTTCCATGCTAAATTCCTATCCAAATATAAACTTGAGAGAGAAATAACATTGAAAATGAAAAACTAACAATTAATCCATAAAATGTATTGATAAATATGCTCTTTTGACCTTAAAGCTTAGTATTTTAACTTGGAAAATCAAATATATTCCAACCACATCACCAGACTCACCCAAGCAATATCAGAAATTGGGTAAATCATACCTGCATCAAGAAGCTTCACAACTTCTTTTCTGACCACCTCTTTCATCATTGGATTAAGCCTTCTTTGCGGTTGCCTCACAGGTTTGATGTCTTCCTCCATGAGTATTTTGTGAGTACAGAAAGAAGGACTTACCCTTCAAGTCAGAAATAGACCACCCCAAGGCAGTCTTATGCTCCTTCATAACTTCTTTCAACCTCCTCTCTTTGTTAGAAGACAACCCTTTATTAATGATTACCGGGTAAGTTTCCTCATCCCCCAAGAAAATATATTTCAAAGTGTTGGGCAAATTCTTCAATTCAACTTTAGGTGCTCCAACTTCTATATCATCAGCTTTTTCTTCAAGCACTTCTACAACAACTTCCTTTTCTTCAAAGGGAACATGGTCACGGGCTTTCAGTTCATGATCAAGCTCTTGAGGGCGAGATTTCTTTTGTTGTACTATCTCTTGAAAGACATCGATTTGGAAACAATCACTATACTCAAAAGGTCTTTTCATAGCATCAGAAACATTATAAGTGATCGCTTCATCATTCATCCTCAATTTAATTTTCCCTTGCTCGACATCAATCAAAGCACGAGTTGTAGCCAAGAAAGGTTTACCCAAGAGAAGTGGTTTTTCACTTCCTTCCTCCATGTCCAGCACCACAAAATCAGCAGGAAAAATGAACTTGTCCACTTTCACCAGAACATCTTCAATAATGCCATTGGGTGTTCTTAAGGACCTATCAGCAAGTTGGAGAGAGACCTCCGTAGACTTCAATTCCTTGATCCCCAAAGATTTATAAACAGAGAGAGGCATCAGATTGATACTTGCCCCAAGATCACACAAAGCCCTGCCAATACCAATATTACCAATGGCAATGGGGATATTGAAACTCCCTGGATCACTAAGCTTTGGAGGAATATCTTGTTGAATAAATGCACTGCACTTCTCAGTAAGTGTCACAGTTTGACATTCCTGTAGCTTATGTTTCCTTGATAAGAGATCCTTCATGAACTTGGCATAATTTGGCATACTCGCCAATCTTCTGCAAAAGGAATATTTATGTGCAGCTTTTTGAAGATATCCAAGAATCTGCCATACTGCTTGTTCTGAGCATCTTTCTTGTATCTCTCAGGATATGGTGCCATAGCCCTGACATACTCAGGACTCAACTCATGCTTTTTCTCAACCACTACATGTTGTTCTTTTGCCTTTACTTTCTCCTTCTCTGCTGGCTTCACAGTCTCCACAGGTATCTCAACTTCTTTTTCAGCTTCAACTGTCGCATCATGTTTCTCTTCATCTCCTTCACACTCTATATTTGGATTTTTAGGAGATGCTACCACCTTGCCACTTCTAGTAATAATGGACATACAATCTCCCCTTGGATTAGTAACTGTATTACTTGGAAAAGTACCTTGAATTCTTTCTGAGACCTGCTTTTCCAGTTGGCCTATTTGATTCTCCAGATTCTTTATGGAAGCATTTGTATTTTTATTCTGAGCTCTAGTCTCTTCCATAAAAGCATTAGTGGTCTGAGCTATCTCATTAGAAGTCTTGGTCATTTGTGCAAAGGCTGAGTTATCTCTTCCACTACATTTTTCCCGCTCAGCAGGCTCTCTTTGTTGACTTTGTGAAGGCTGAGCATAATTGTTGGGCTTGAAATCCATATCAGGTCCTTGACTTCTCCTCTGAAAATTACTACCACCACCACCAGAAAAATTCTGGTTTCTTTGAAAAGTCGACTGCTGGGCATTTGATCATACCATATACCATTCACCTGCATTTGTTGAGGAGAATCAGAAAAAGTAAGAGCAAGACATTCATTAGGTTCATGATTGTCCTGGCAATAATCACAAACAAAGGCCACAGATTTAACCTGAACGCCAGCAATTTGCATCTTGTCAAGCCTTGAAGTCAAACTTGCCATTTGTTGAGATAACAATTTGTTTTCAGCCAATAAAGAATTATTGTCTCCCAGCTGAAGGATACCCTTCTTAGACTTTGATGATAATCCCTGATTTTCATTCCTGGCCATCCTCTCTATCAGCTCAAGAGTCTCATTTGCCCTCATGGTTTTAATAGTACCACCAGCTGCACCATTCAAAACCATTATATCCTTAGGTGTAATGCCATTGAAGAATATTCTGACTTGATCGCCAGCAGTCAAGTTATAATGAGGGCACTTCCTCATCAAATCCTTGAATCTATTCCATGTCGTGCACAAGGTTTCACCCTCAATTTGAGTGAAATTGGTGATGTCATTCACCATTTGATTATATCTCTCCATGGAAAAGAATTCAGAGAAAAATTTCGTAGATAAGTCATCCCATGTAGCAATGCTCCGTGCTGGTTGTCTTTCTAACCAACTGAGAGCTTCTCCCTTAACAACAAAAGGAATAAACGCAACCTGATTGCATCATCAGATACCCGAGGGTGCTTAGTCGAATCACAGATCATAAGAAATCGATCTATGAATCTATGAGGGTCTTCATTCTTTCCTCCTCCAAACTGAGCTCTTTCCATCAATTGAATGACGGAAGATTTCAGCTCCCAATTATTGTTGTCAATCGCAGGCTGGACAATACTTGAATTTGGCCTGTTGAACGCTAGAGTGAGAATAGTATCCATGAGTGGATTTTCTGCCTCATTGTTGGCTGCCATGATTGGTACTTCTGGTGTCTCTCTAGCTTGAGCACTTGTCACTGTTGAAGTACCCCTCTTTCTAGCAAGTCGCCTATTTCTCCTTTCGGATCTTGTAATCTCAGAATCGAATAGCAAGTCCTGAGGATCAACCCTGCTTCGCATAAAACTCAAGACATATCAGTAGCACTTTTCAAAACAAAATTAAAATAAAGAAAAGGAAAATAAAATAATCACTGAAATTCCAATCTTAAAGATCAAAATTAAATGATATTAGAAATGTCAATCCCTGGCAACGGCGCCAAAAACTTGATGCTAACCGGCAAGTGTACCGATCGAACAAGTAATAAAGTGATAAGTAAGAGTATCATATCCACAGGGATTGTGATTGAATATCAATTAATTTTTCCTTTTAAGATAGAAAAGCTCAAAAGATTGTGGGAAGAGTTTGTGAATTTGTGTAAAATAAAATTTGAATGTAGAAACGTATTTTGATTTTATAAGATCAGAAATTGTATCAAGAATGAATTTGTAAAATATGAGAAGGTATTGTAGATAGAGTGCACTCACCGAATGATCCCCGCCTTTCACTTTGGATTGATTTAAATTACTCAATTATAATAAATATTCAAACAATTTATCACCAACAACATGAATTAACTAAACCCCAATTCCTTGCAGGCTCAGTCCTTTAGCCCCAATTGGAACCCCAATTCCTTGCAATGTTCCTTTCAAAATTAAGCATTAACAAGATAAATTAAACGTTTGCGATAACATACACGTCAATTCCTAGCATGCATACAAATCGTTACCCTATCCCCTTTCTAGATTAGAAAGCCCCAATATTCCTATCTAGGGTTCTAACCCTCAAACTATCCTCCACTATTAAATTGATCAAGTTTAACACAAAGAATAGACAATATGCATAGAATAGGAATAAAATAAATAAAACTAACCGAGAAGGATAAATCATTCCGCCGTCAAAGAGGTTCACATAGGGTCTGCGACCCTAACTACAATAAAAGGGTATTAGCCAACCATAGTCATGATTGCTATACAAAAATCTGTCATAAAACTGTAAAAGAAATGGAAAAGTAGATGAAGATGAAATTTCTCTCCCTCAAACTCAATGAACCCTAGCCTCCTTCGTCTCTCTATGTCTCTTTTCTTTTTAATAAAAAGACCCCTTCTTTCAAATTTGCCCTTGACAGACTTCTCAAATCGCAAACTGGCGCATTCCCGCGCCACTCTGGCGCGAGGTCGTGCCAACATTTTGGAAAATGGCTTGGATCATCTGGCGCAAGATCGCGCCACACCCGCGCAGACCCGCGCGATATCTCTGGACTTTGGCCTGGGAATATTTTAACAATGCATTATCTGTGACTTTGTCTGGTCTTTGTCCATCTTTCCTATATAAAAACAGCAAATATGTGAGAATATAAACTGAAATAGAAAAACTAAAATATAAAGAAAATACCTACTAAAACTACTCTTTAAGGACTTAAAACTTGTTGCTTTTGTCTTGGAAAATCACATATGTCAGAGGCACATCAGGCTCCAAGCGGAAATCAACGCACGTGTTCCCAAGGGAGGACCCCAAGCGGAACCAGAACATATCAAAGGCGTACACCGTCAATCTCAAGGGAACCCAAGAAGACATCAGTGTACCATACAAGTCAATTCCAGCCAAAGATCAATACAGAAATCATATCAGAACAAGTCATATAACAAATGTTTACACAGTCAATCCCGGGGGAGGACCCCAAGTGGGAATCAGTGTACGTGTTCCCAAGGGTGGACCCCAAGCAGAACTCAACAAAACATATCATATTAACACATATCAAAGTAAACACATCAAACAAAACATATCATATTATCATATAGCTCTATTGAATGCATCTATATCATATATCTCATACATATCATACAACCCGACCACAGTCCGTACACTATGGCGAAACACAAAGTAGGAGCGAACCCCATAAACATAGAGCTTACCTTTTGAAGCTTTACCAATCTGCTCACTTGTAACACAAGTTACCTATTTAGCTCCAAAGGAAATTCAAACTCGCTCAGTCCCTAGGCACACCTAGAGAAAGAATCCAAACAAAACTCAATAAAATACTTCAATGCCATGTAGTTACAAGACATGCACTTTATTATTTACTTTCGTTTCTTTACATTTATGCCAATACGCAAGTCATAACCAGTTTTCTTTTTACTTAATCATATTAGGCCATGAGTGAGTGATTCTTTATTCAACAAATTCCCACAAAATTTCACATATTCACTTAGTCTTAGGATAGTCCCAAAAGGCCTTTAGAACACTCATTACTCCTCTTAGCACCTAAAAGCCTATTTTTTCCAATTTAAGGCAAGGTGCCCAATACAAAGGAGTTATAAGATTTCTCTTTGTCTAGTGCCTAAACCCAAGCTTAGCCACCTATATAAATTATTTTACGCATAACAGTATGCTCGCTTTGCAAAACAGTAACTCCTAGTACAAACCTCCTTTGAAAATGGCCATAATCACATATAAGGCCTAAAGAAGGAACTTACTCATTTTTCTTTTTATCTAACTCAACCAAAGGTTTAAACATCTAATTATATAGTCCTTAGGCTGTATAAGTACTCATTATCACAAACAAGCACTCTAAAAACATACTTCCTTTGTAAAGGGCTAAGAGGCTCATAAAGGAAATCATGCCAATTTCATGATTCACATGCTTTAGTCTATAAAATTCAAGCTTATCACACACCTCTAATCCAAGATTCATTAATTCATATATACGGTACTGTTCATCTCTACAGTACTACTCATGTATACATCACTATTCACGTATACGACACTATTCAAAAATACGGTATCTTTAATTTTCCAAATACATTTTCACCGTTAAAATTCTCATCTAAACATTTTTCTCAACATGAGCTAAACCTGAATCAAGCTTTAACATGCTCAATCAAGCCAAATTTTCAAAATGAAACCATAAATTCAATCTTCATAAAAACATGAAAAAGAAGGGAATTTCTTACCACAATGCACTCTAGAACAAAGGAGAGATGAGTATCTAAGCTCCCATGGCCTCAAGCTCCATCAAAATCTATCTTTTCCATGAAATTCGAAATCTTTGGGGGAGAAAATCTCTCTCTACAGTGAAACCTACCCAGAAATACTAGTACCAATGGATTCCTCTCGAGATTTCTCACAAGTTTGGCTTTGGAACGAAGTGATTTGGAAGTCTCTAGCTCAAGTTATTAATTTTGGAAGATTTTCCATCAAAATTCTTTTTTTTCTTCATTTTCATGCTCTCTGTCTCTGCCTCCCGTAGAAGTCACGAAATGAGAATGGGAATAGTGACTCCCTAGTCACTTAAGTAAGTTCATTATACCAGCGGGTATAAGTTCATCTACCTACTCACCTCCATTCATTACCAAACTTTATCTAATAGACTAGAATATTTTTCTAGTCACGTTTCTATTTTTACTTTCACTTTTTTTTATTTACCCGCATTTTTATCCCTTAACTGTCATTTTAACTCTTTTTTCACCAAAGGTGACTTTATTTCTTTTACTTCTAATTATTCTTCAATATTAAATCCACAATTACTCGTGAAGGTTATTATAGAAAGTCTGCTCCCCCGAAAGATCATTGTAGTCAAACAAACACAAAAGTCAACAGGGCTGGTAATCTTAATCAAAAACAAATATATAACTTAATATAAAAGATGAAATCAAATAACAGCTGACTCAAATAATAATTCAATAATTCAATATATATATATAGGGGTTTGCATTTATCATTTAACATGACACAAAAAAGTTTTCTACACACACAACATTTTGTCAGGCCCACACTTTTTGAAGCAAAATAAAAAATAAAAAATTACGACACGCAAAACGAATCTCTATAACATTACACAATCACTTTTCCTACAACATAACTCTTATAAAAACCCACATATATATAATTAAATATATTATTACAAATTATCTTTATTAAATTTCTTTAGTGGGAAGAGAACCATGGTAGACCCGGGAAACTCTGCCAGTTTACCCTGCGACCCGGGAAACCCTGCCAGTCACAAATAATCAAATTGGCCATAATCAAAATATCTCTTCCTAGTGTGCACACCTCTTCCCAAAGTTGCTACAAGTATCCCGGAAAACCCTGCCAGATACCACTTTGGAAAGAATGGATAATATCTGTTCACATCGTATAAATATATCGGAGGCATAAAGCCCAAATGTTGTGTTCATCACTTTAGGAGGTACCATCTCAAAGCTATCCTCCCACTATTAATTTATTACAATCACATACAATAAGGAAAGTTCAATAATGTCATAATTATCATATTTGAAAATTTCTTCTTTGAATATATCAGTTGCTCAAGG